ATTATAATCGTCTGTTCTTCAACAAATTTTATATCCAATACGTATATCACTTAAATTTGCCATAATTTTTATTTATTAACATTGTGTAGAAAAATACAAGCATATGTATTGGATATTTATATAAATTAATCTATATCATTAAAAAAAATTTCCTAAAATATTGTAGAAAGTATAATTCGTCATTGTAAAAAAGATATGCATTCATTGAGTAATGCAAGAGATGATATGATTGTGTTTTCTTATTTCACGTTTTTTTAATTTTAAATTCACTGATAATTATTTAAAATACTTTCCCGCAATTATTAAAAATCTTTGGACAATGTTTTCTCGCGATATTCACATACGGTACATCACTATTTATGTCCACCTTTTCAGCGCTGCTTAATTTGTTCCACACATGAATTGCCATTGCTTTTTCTAACATCTTCATCGTTGCATTCTTGTTCTTTGTCTGAAAGTATACTTTCCAATTGTCATAATGGATTGGATAAAAAGTCGAAGGAGGAAAAACTTTAAAACCTTGACATCGATTCGTGGACATGTTCTGAATCTGTGCAAAAGAAAAATGATTTCTGTATATTACTTTCTATTTTCATTGTTTCATTATCAAACTGAGTTGAATTATAATAAATATTTAAAAAATATAAAACATTCAGGATCGAAATTTTTCAGTTCACTTTATTCAACAGAAATATTGATTCTTATTTATGTATGATTCCCTCAGTTTATTTTATTTTATCTTTTTTATTTTATTTTGATTTTAATTTGATTTTTTCTCTAATGATGCTCTTCCATAAATGAGTTTTTTTATTAATATGAGATTAAATATAATACAATTTGAATTATATTTGTGATTTTTTTTTTATTTATGAAATAAAAAAAATCCATGAAATAATAAATATAATCCAAATCTATGGATATTATTTTATTTTAATTAAAGAAATTTCTAAAAATTTAAAAAAAAAAACCAAATATAAGAAAATTTTTAAATTATATTAATATTATTTCATATATTAATTTGAACTTGAATTAGATTGTAGCTCAAAACTTCCATGGTAATGAATCTTTTATAATTATGCTGTAACTTGATTTTACAGTTAAAATATTTAATATATTTCATTTTTTATAGTTATTTTATAGTTTTTCGGTTTTTTTTTTAGTATTCTTATTGTTTACATCATTTTTGTTATTTCATATTGTTTAAATGATTTTTTATATTTATTGATTTTTTATTGATTTATTATACTAATTTCAAACAATTTTTTTCTTTCTTTTTTTTTAAATTTTTGTTTCAATTTTGTTAACGAATTATTAACGAAAAATACTGGTTAAAAAATGTATAAATTTATCACACTGCAGCGATAACATTGAGTATAGTTAATGAATTGCCAATCTCGATATATGTTTGCCTTGATTGTTTTATTTGTTTGTTAAAATTTGTTTGTCTATAATTCTATTGCTATAATGCGATAAGTAAATAAGTTATGTAAATTTTGTTGTGATTGACCAATGTTTTTCACTAACAATTTATTAATAAAGCTGAAACAAAAATTTTGATAAAGAAAAATATTGTTTAAAGCATCTTAAAAATCACTGATTAAATCTTTTTTGTCTTTTAATTTCTGATATATCCTATATAATATTTTAGATATTTTATATATTTATAAAATAATAAAAAATTATTCAAAAATTAAAATTAATAAATATCAATTTTTAATGTCAGAATGTCAAAATAATGTCAGAATTAAATTTTCTAATCATATAAATAATTTGCATAATTTATTTTTATGTATTTTATTATATAATTAATAACTTATATTATAACTTTTTATATTTTTTTCATTATTACATTTTTAATAAAATAATAAAAATCAAATTTTGTTTTAATTGTCAAAAAATATTGTATTGATTATTACATTAAAAAAGTGTATTCTATACTTTTATATTATAATTATTGTATGCAATCTATTTCATATAAAACTGATAAGAATTTATCTAAAATGATATAAAAATAATTCATTTCAAAAAATGATAAGTAATAATCTTTTAATCTTACTTACATTTTTTGTTGAACAAAATTTTTGTAATGTTCTAGTAATTACACCAGGACCATTATTACCCCAAATATCACCTCGAAAATTTGCTCGTATATCACGAATACAAGCATCAGCCATTCTTCGACCTAGCGTTGAAAAATCAAATCCTATTACACCTGCAGCTACATACTTCCAATCTTCAGCACCGGCGAAATTTGTTAAATGTTCAATGGATCTAGGAAGAAGTAAAAAAACAAATTATTTGATTATATATTTATAAATTTTATAATTCATCAGAGATTTTTTTTAATTCTACTATATACATATTTAAATTACGTAATATAAAGAACAATATTAAAATTTTATTGAGATATGTATTATAATGAATATCTTTTTACATCTTTTAAATGAATGTAGAATAAGTTAAATTAGCTTATAAATATGGTGATTTTAAACATAGTTTATTTAATATAAAATATAATAAAAAAAATTGTATATTGAAAACTAAATTATACATTATGTATTTGATTATGATTAAAAATCATGTTGTAAATTTTATTTTTTTTATTTTTGATTTTCATCATATTTTGATTTATCATTTATAAAATTATTTATAGACATTTATAGTCAAACATCTTTGTCAAAATAAATACATAAAATCATAATCTTCTGATATACTATAAATTAGATAAATAAATAGATGATAAGTAAAATTAAAATAAAATTCCAAAAACTTTTGGTATAAAGATACAAAATATAATAGAATATACAAAAGAATAATAGAGAAAGAAATATAAAATTTTAACTTTGAATATTTATTAGTTTATACGGTATTAATGAAAAATTTTATTTATTATTATGAATTATATATTATAA